GTTTACCCATTTTTGAAGCTGTCAAACCGCCTTAATTTGGCTAATAGAGAAAACCTTCTATTTATATTTTGGCATCTCGTAAAATTAATAATCGTTAATATATTGGCCTCGTGTCTTTGAAATTATAGAAGTGTCGGTAACGTGAAGTCACGGACACGGTCAAGGAAAAATTACTAGAGTTCTACAACTATTTTCATTTCATTAGTCCCACCTTATCATATGCGTTTTGCTTCATATCTATTATCTCCTTCAGAAAGGTTCATTTGAAGGCCCGTAGCAATTAACACAGACTTTAAAAAGTCAAAGGATATATGATAACAATTAATGAATTCGGTGATTATCATCTTCAAACACAGGTTCCTTATAATCAAATAATTTACTAGTCGAGTCTCAATTCCTATTCTTGACCACAAACTCGAAACCGATCGGACATCAATTAATATCTACCAAAAAAAAATATTTCACTAATGTAAAAAAACAACTTACACATAAACAACTTACAATTTCCGAATTTCGGATTGCAATTGTTTAATTAATTGTTGACACGACCAATCAGAAATGGTCTCACTTTCTTGCCTTGTGAATATATATATACTAGTGACCAAGTGCGCGGGTAGTTGGTCAAGAATGGTTCATCATCATATAAAGAACTAATTACCGTAAAGAGAAACTGCAGAACAATTCAACGGTTCCTCCTTATAAATATAAAGTTTCACAAGCAACATAATTCAATTAATTCTCACAAGCCATTACTTAAGCAGAATCATTAAGAGTAATAGTAAGAGGCAAAATGAAAGCTGTCTACTTCCTCGTTGCCATTTTAGCTTTGGCATCCTCTGTTGCCTATGCTTATGACCCCAGCCCTCTGCAAGATTTCTGTGTGGCAACCAATGACCCCAACGATGGTATGTATACACATTCTTCATAAGTCTTACTATTCGAATTCCAAGTTTATTTTTACATTTAGATCATGTCATGAATAACTATATAATTGACTTTCTTTGTTATTAAAACATTCTCTTGTTTTTTTGCAGTATTTGTGAATGGAAAGTTCTGCAAAGACCCAAAACTTGTCACGGCTGAAGATTTCTTCAAGCATGTTGAACCAGGGAATACTAGAAACCCACTCGGCTCAAAAGTGACTCCAGTGAGTGTTACTGAACTAGTCGGACTAAACACACTTGGGATATCATTGGCTCGCATTGATTTTGCACCAAAGGGTTTAAACCCTCCTCACACTCACCCACGTGGCTCAGAGATCCTTATAGTAGTTGAAGGCACTCTCCTTGTTGGATTTGTGACATCAAATCAAGACAACAATCGTCTATTCACAAAAGTGCTGAACAAGGGTGATGTGTTTGTGTTCCCAATTGGTCTCATTCATTTCCAACTTAATGTGGGAAACGGTAATGCTGTGGCCATTGCAGCTCTCAGTAGCCAAAATCCAGGAGTTATCACAATTGCAAATGCTCTGTTTAAATCAAATCCTCCTATTTCTCCATATATTCTTACCAAAGCTTTCCAAGTGGACAAGAACGTAATTGATTATCTTCAGAAGCAACCCTGGTACAACAACAACTAGTTTGCAAACATGAATGGTGCCCATTTCATTCCAATTGAATGATTGATTTCAACGTTAAGATTGCCTTGTATTATTGACCTTCTCCAAATATTTTCTTCAACTAATAAATAGATTGCATATGGATCATGTTACTTAACATAGGTTTATTTATTTATTTATTTGAATTTGGTGTAATGCATTATTATTGAGAGCTTAATAAAAGAACCTTATTCTGCCCATCTCTTTCTCGTGTTGATTTTTTTATTCGGTAAATTCTTGATCATTTAAATTTGATTGCAAGTAAATGGTTACACTTATGGGATAATTGATTAACGAATTAGCATTACCAAGCTAGTCGTTACTATCGGAATTTTGGGATTCTTCCTTTAAAGCCAGAACTTCAGTAATTCATTACAATTTGCGTAGGTATATATGTACTGTAATGTTGTTAAATATAATGAATTAAGGACAAGGTGAAGGTGGACAATTTGTGGGGACTTGGCTAACTTAGTTACAATGGAAAAGAAACACAATCCTGAAGCTTAATCAATCAATACAATAGCTGCTATTTTGACTGCTATTTTTCTCTTTTTGACAACTTTTTTTTAAGAGCAACTCTTTTCTTTTTTTATGAAACCAACTTTTCATTTATTAGTAGTCTCTGGTTTTTACTTCCTATAGCAGCCAACAACATGTCTTGCTTTTTTTTTCCAATTCCATCATAACTAAGAGGCGTGGTAGATTGTGGGATAGGGTAAGATGTGGGTATGTGAGAAGAAAAGGTTAAAGGCTCAACATGGGGTTTTCAATGCATGATGATGTAAGGATGGCTTTTGGGTTTAAAAGTGGTTTAAACAAAACAAATTTTTTTTGCCCTTATCATTTTAAATTCAAGCCAGTGCTACACTTCTTCAACTAAGCATCAGAGCAAGTTCTGCCTCACTACCCCAGTGAAGACCTCTCATCAAAAAAAAATTATGAATGTATAGGCTCAATGATTCACTGTGTTGGGTCTAGTCACCATCTCACTTGCCTATTATTAAAATTCACACTTTGTATTAATCAACTCAATTTCTCAATCTCTCACTGCCATTACCCCTCAACCATTAAAACACTCATGTCACTCTTCATTCACACAACTGCCCTGAGTTCCTTTCTTTCTTCAAACTTTCAGCTGCCTAGTTGTGATACAGATCACTTGCTGCTAAACACCATACAATCCCCAATCCATTCTCATTCTCAAACTTCCATTTCTCAAAACAGCAAACAACTAAGACAAACATAAAAAAAAACTAGCAACATGGCAACTACTGAGTTCAGCAAAACAGCAAATAAATCCTAATCAAAACAGCTCAAAACAACAAATGATTCTTAGAGCATACATGGTTCAACAGACATATTATTCTCCCTCAAACTTAACTTCAACAGTGTCCTCACTGTTGTGCCTCACACAAGTTACAAAAAAAAAAAAAAAAAATTTGCAATTAAAACAGTGTAACCTGAGGCCAAAAGATGTTCTGGCCTATTCCTCTTGATAATCTGAGTCACCAGACTCAGATTTATCCAAAACCTCAGATTCTGTTTCAGATTGTTCTATTTCCTCCTCTTCTTCATTTTCACTAACTTCCTCCATGGCAGCTTTTGCTCGCGGCCTTCCCCTCTTCCTTAAGCTAGAAGAGGTGTCCTCATTCTTGGTAGGTTGAGGAGTTGCCTCTTCCCTTGTAGGTTGAGGATGAGGAGGATTACCAGCAGCTCTTGCCATGACTTCTTTAACCTGAGGATCAACAAACACTGAAGAAGGTGGCCAGGTTAAATCTTGAGGTAGTGAAGGCAAACCAGGGAAACTCACAAAAGTGTTTTTCAAAAATATTCAACACTCTGTCCCTCTCTACAATATAATCATGAAATCTGGTTCTATCATACATGAAAGAATAAAATTGATCATAAGTTTTTTGAAACAACAAGTCAATTTTTTTATTATGATCTTACATTTGTAAGAGCACTTTGTGTATATGAACCAGATCATTGTGAAGCCAGCCAGGTGGAAAATGGTTTTCAGTGGGAGGACCCATAGTCTCAAGGTGCTTTGCAATATTCTCAGCTTTCTGCCTCTGAGAACTCTCAGCACAAGGGACAAAATTTCCTTTCTTCTTTGGAGGAGAAGATTGAGTCTTCTCCTCTTCAACCACCCCTTTCAATTTTTCTTTACACACTGTTTTCAATTTTTTCTCTTCTACCAAGGGTTCAGCAATGCCTTTTTTTAATTTATTAATGATTTGAACAGTGATAGCCTCACGCACTTGAAAGAACTTATCAGCTGCATTTGCTGAGACACCTTTTTTCTTGCATAACTGGGATATGAAGCTGGGGAACCGGAGCTTGCCTTTTCTACCTCCAGCACAAGCTCCAGTTCCCGTGAATACTAATTTAGCAGCATCCACAGGCTTTCCAGCCAATAAGCACCACAACAGAACAGCCTTATCCCTAGTCACTAAATGCACATGGGTAGTGGGCATCAGTCTAGCTCTAATGAAGTGATACCAGGTTTGAGCCTTTTCATTTAAAAAGTGTTTCTGCAAAGTGTAGTTCTTGTCTTTTATGTCCCATTCAGCCCCAGGGACAGCTATGACCTTTAATACCTCTACCATGAAATCATGGTCATGCTTCTTTGCATACTTTTCAAACTCATCTTTAGAGGCCTTAGGTAGGGAAAAAAATTCCCTAATAGCCTTGGGGTCATAGGACACTTTAACACCTCTAACACTTACTACAGTTTGACTCTTATCTAGAATCTCTTCATAAAACTCCCTCACCACATTGACATTTGCAGCATCTTTAGGATGCAGGTAGAACTGTTCCCAATGTTGGGTTCGAACTACCTCATGCACATATTCGGGATAAGAGGCATTTTCCTCAAATCCCTTGTCAGGGGTGGGGTCCCTAACAAGCATAGTTTTCTCAAACCTTACTATTGCTTTTTCACATGTGAAAGATGAGAGGGAAAAACTCTCAGGGTCAGGTGTGTGTGGTGTAAGCCTTGGACTGTGAGGTCCTCCACTACGCAAGATATGCTTTCTAACCATGATGCCAAGTAAAAATAAATTTTTAAACAAAAACAGCAAATTGAAACTACAAAAAAAATAGAAATAAAATAGCAATAATAAAAACAAGTTGATACTCAGGCCACTCCCCCAAACTGAAGTTGGATCTGCTTCCAGAAATCAACAAAAAGATTCACTAACACCTGAAACAGAAGAAATGAGAATGTCAGTAACAACTATATATATATATATATATATATATTTTAAACATTAAATGGAATGCATAAAAAAATATCAACAAACTCAGAACAGCAAAGACAGAGGAAAAATAATTCAAACATAACAAAACATGCTAATTTTAGAGTCTTAAGCTAGACTTTTTGTCACTGTTTTTGTTTTTACAAAGTAGACTGGTCACAAAGAGATATTGAAATAACAGCTCTCTCTATGGACTCTCCAAAATAATGTTTTAATCTTTGCCCATTAACATTGAATTTCCTACCATCTTTCTCACTCAAGATGTCTACAGCTCCATGAAGATGTACCTTAGTGATCTTAAATGGACCAGACCATCTAGATTTCAATTTCCCAGGGAAGAATTTTAATCTTGAATTAAAAAGCAGGACTTGTTCTCCCACTGCAAACTTCCTATCCAAAATTTTCTTATCATGCCATCTATTCATTTGTTCTTTATACAACTTGGCATTTTCATAAGCATTTAATCTAAATTCATCCATTTCATTAAGTTGGAGAAGCCTCTTTTCTCCTGAAGCAATGGCATTAACATTTAGTTGTGTGGTAGCCCAATATGCCTTATACTCAAGCTCTAGGGGTAGGTGGCAATTTTTGCCAAAAATCAGCTTGTAAGGAGAGCAGCCTAAAGGTGTTCTATAAGCTGTCCTATAGGCCCACAAAGAGTCATCTAATTTAAGGGACCAATCCTTCCATGAAGGATTCACTACTTTTTCTAAAATCCTTTTAACTTCCCTATTTGTAACTTCACCTGCCCACTTGTTTGTAGATGGTAAGCAGTAGAAACTTTAAGTTTTACTCCATATTTAGCTAAAAGAGCTTCAAATTGTTTACTAGCAAAGTGCTTACCTCCATCACTTATAATGGCTCTTGGAGTTCCAAATCGGGTAAAAATATTCTTTTTCAAGAATTTAATTACCACCTTGGAATCATTTGTGGGTAAGGCAGCAGCCTCCACCCATTTGGAAACATAATCCACAGCAACTGTAACACCCCGTGTATACCCGGAAATGTTAACATTACATCGTTTTAAGAGGTGCTTAATTAAAATGCGGAATATTCTTTTTCTTTTCAATTATGACGTCATTATCAATTACCAACTTGATTACTTAATCAATTTCATAAAATAACGCCCGTATGTAAATTGCAATAAGACGTCTACTGAAATACCTCAATATATAAATAAAGTGTGTATCTACATCACGGTATTACATCTCGTAATACGGACAATATCCTGATACATTATTACAACACCAAAAGACTCAAGACATAATCAAGACATAACAATACTATGTGTCATGGACAATCCCCATGCTCACCAAATAAACATAGTAAACAACCAGTCTCAACATAAAACTCCATAAACATAACTGAAGCTATAAGCATATAAACAGCATGCATAACCAGCATCCAATCATGGCAGCATAATATAACAGCAATCTAACTCAGCTCCGGCCCCCTGCCGCCTGAGGTCTCAACATTACCTGACCCTGAAATAAGCATTCCCCAAACCTGGGGTGAGATCTCTAAACAAGAAATCTCAGTAAGACAAGGGGTCCTCAAGGATCTTCCACCCCAAGCTCACTTACATGTGCAATATAAGTTCTAAAAGCATTTATATCATTATCAGTTCCAAAACTATATAGTGCAATAGATATCTATGGCATGTGTGTAATCACTATCTACTGTCCAGAGAAATGTAGGAATACGTCTATTCCCTACATGTAGTACAAGGAATACCGCTTGCATCTTACCCACAGCCTCACCCTCTTATATGTTCTACATACTCATGCTTACCGTATAGGTGGAACACCTCCATGCATATCAACAAGGCACTAACATACAATAGCTCAACAGCATTTCCAAAACATCAAAAGCATGTAACACAACATGCATATACCATATCCCCATGGGACATGGTGGAACCACAACATGGCTAAACCGAGGACACGAAAGCTTACCTCTAAGCTAGATATCCAATGCCACAAGCTCAAAGTCCAATCACAGCAGATCACAATCTGATATGGACCAAATATAAATCAATAAACATGTACCACATGAAAGTAAAAAGAGGGCCTTGAAGGCCGTAGCATGTGAGAGGGGAAAAACAAAATTTTTCCGCAAGCGGAATACACATGCATATCAAGATACATACTTTAAGACGTATGTCATACCTTGTTCGTGAAAAACTCAAGACGATCAAATGTACGTCTGAAGGGTTCAGACCCTCTAACGTTGATCCACACCACCTGCGTCTAGATACAGGAACTCCTCCCAGTAAAGCCGCCAATTGATCACCACAAAGAGGCTTGCTATTCGCTCAATGTGTGATGAGAGGAGGCTATGTAAAAGTGTTTGGAAGAGTGAAGTTTTCTGAGAGAAAACCTCACAAAAGTGGCGCAGGAAATTAGGAGAGAATGGCTTGGTTGGTTTTCTAAAAACACTAGAAGAAACATATATAAAGAGGCGCTCAAGAGGAGCCTATTTGTTAAAAACAAATCAGATTTTTAATCAATAAAAATCCCTTCCAAAAGGGCGCTCCATCAAAGAGAGAGAGAATAGGATTTGTTGCAAATCAAATCTCATCAAATCTTGCCAACAACATCCTATCATATCTTTATGATATATTAGGTTCAAAACCTAATCAAATATCTGATCATAAATCATCATATAATCAGTTATATGGTGCGCCCCATATAGCCTAAATAATGACCAGATACATTTGAGTAATCAAATCACTCAAAATCTCTCAACAGATTGTATCTTCTGGAGCTGATACTGATGACTAATCATCAGCCATATTAGCGCCCCATATCTCCTTGGATTATGTCCAAGAGATTTTCTCTTGATATGTTCCAACAAGATCTAATCTTGTTATGTTCCAACAAGATCTTATCTTGTCTTTTTCAAACAAGATCTTTTCTTATCCTTTTTCGTAATGAAACAATTTTCATAGCCAATTCTAATTTAATTATTAAATTCAAATATTAAAATATTCAAATTTAAACTTTCAAACATTCAAATTCAAAATTCAAATTCAAAATTCAAAATTAAAATTTCAAAATTTCGAATTCAAAATTCAAAATTCAAATTCAAAATTCAAATTTCAAAATTCAAATTTCAAAATTCAAATTTCAAATTTCCAATTCAAAATTCAAATTTCAAAATTCAAATTCAAAATTTAAATTTCTAAATTTAAATTTTAAATTCCAAAATTCAAAATTTAAATGTTTGATAATTAATTAATTTAACTAATTAAATTAATTAGTAATGACTTGGACTATCCAAGCTTATTACATTAACCATGCGCCCTCCACCCCTTTAGGTGGAGTTCCAAACTACTTCTTGGGCTAATAACTATTATAAGGCCCAATACTTTTAATGCTAGAGCATCTAGACAATTAGGTGTTGTGTGTGACCTATTAGGTCCAACATAGCCACTGACATAAATGGGCTTGGGCCCAATAAGCCCACAACCCATCTAATGACAACACAGAGCACTATCAATGCTTTGTTGCCCCAGAACTAGTTAGATTAATGATTTGGTTGCCGTATGTTTGTCCCTTCGTCTCGGTTACCTTCCCATAAAACCTAGGGTAAAGAAACGTATCATCCCTTGCGGTTTAGGGTTAGCTTTTTATGAAATAGGGAGTCTTCAATTTACTGACTCTAAAGGCAGATCATCTTATGATCTCTTTTACTATGCATAGATTCCCGAGTCACTGTAAATGTCATGCCGATTTCTCCGGTTTAAGGATAACCTAATCTCTCACAGAGATTTGACGAATTCCTTCAGCTTATCACCCTAGCCCTGTGCCCTATCAGGACAAGCCCAAGAGCATACCTATGAATCTCCATGTTTCAGGCAGACGAGGTATACAGTCAAAGCATGCCTTCTAGAACACAGTCTAAGTGATAACTTCTGGTGTAAGGAAAGACATACCCAAATATAAAGAGACTACTCTAATGATACTATCTGTGAGATTTCCTTATAGAGTCTCTTTGTGGGTCCGTTCAGTGCGAGCTATACTCTTATAGGTCCACCCACGACTTTAGCTAAGACATCTCCATATCTGTAGCACATGAGGTCTATACCTTGTATCCATATACAAGTAGATAAGTCATGCTAGTCTTACACGAGATTACTGACCCCATTCTCAGTATCTCTAGACTAGGAACATAATATTAGGAATAAGAATCTGGTATTCTTGAATCCTCATGATCGTGATCTCATCACAGATATTCAAGAGATACCTATTTTATTCTACAGGGTTTATCAAGTTATTCATAATATATTAACATTAATATCGAGACAGAATTATGAAACAAGATAAAGAGTGCTTTTATTTATTTGCGACAATGTTTGAGAAAGGTCTACATCTATGTCCTTATTTAATCATAAGATTGTCTCTAGGACACGCAAATACTAACACCACATGCATACAAATTAAAGACAACGCCTTTTCATTACGTTTTAATGTCTTAAAGCTTCTAACAAAGCCACAAGCCCTAAATTCCATGATTCTGGCTTAGTCCATTAAAAACAGAAGTTCAACTTCATCAATCTAGGGTCCACAAACCCTCAATAGCCTACTGTACACACAGCACAACTACTGTTCTAAAATCCCAAATATCCAGATATTCCTCGGCATCAT